AAGTTATATGATACCTCTAAGTTGAGACATGGTGAAACTGGGGTACCGTCAAGTGATCCTATGCTCTGTGATTAGGAGTGTGGAGACCTAGTTGCAAAACAGTCAGGTTTTCGGCTCTCCCGATTCTCTTGTCTGTTGTCTCTGAGCTCCAGTTAGACATTGGCTGGAAATTGATGTTAAGATATGAAAAAGTGTGTTGGTCAAGATGATGCGATGATTGAAATAGAACAATAAGCGACCAGTACCTGTCTCAATAAATTATCTTTCGTCACCACACCTGAATAATTCGGTCACTGTAACTAATAATCTTGGGTTATCATGTTCAATTACTTTTAAGTGGACCCTTTTTATCTTCTATCCCTTGCCCTCTCATGTGGATTACATCAGTCCTCAGTTAGGTGATGGTTGGAGGGTTATTCACAATTATTAATCATTCTGGTTGAGTCTAGACTTTGCTAACTACTCAAAAACATATATAAACAACAGTTTATGGCTGTGCTACAAAGCTGTCTTACTTGCTGCACTTTATGTCAGTATATCGAGGTAAAAGTTAACAAGAGGGAGAAAGATGAGATGAAAGTAGGAATAGCAACAGTTGTAAAATAGCCTTAATACAGATAAAAGGAGCTAAAAAGACTAATGATGCGCAATATCGCGATTTTGATAAAGATATGGAATAAAGGCATCTGTTCCACTGGGACAAATTTCGAACCTCATCAACTAAGGAATAGTCAGAGGTTGGTTGGACTGCTCTTCAAAGTGTTTGATTTATCGAGGCAGTGACTTCTCATAGTGAACAAGAGATACATCTTTCTCGATAGAAGTCCTGCTGAACTTTCAATATTTTGCTGAAGTCCGTTTTGTGAACCTAAAACGTTTCCCACTGTCATCCGCTACTTATGTCTTTCCCTTCAACCATAGTTCATAGCTTATAAAAACTATCAGACTGCATTTAAGCTAGACCTCTTCCTTATTAGTTGAAGAAGTGAATAGAAGGCTTTTCGATGCATCCTGTAGCCCAGAATAAACTGTTTTGGAGACTGAAACTAGGAAGCAGACATGTCCATACATGCCTCAGTCTGAAAGTTTGACCAAAATTAGGCTTCGCCTGACCTAATCTTGCTTCAGATTACGTAAACGGCTTAGGTGATGCTTCATCACATTCTACATCAGTAAGGTGTACAAACCCTATTCAGTATCTTTTTGACGGTTAAAAACAATCTTTGAAGCTATTTGATAACAAATGGAAGATGATGATAGGCTATGTCGGTGTGAGATCCCCCGTCATTGATCACTGTCTAACTGAATCCTCCTTGAATACTCTTTTGGAGTTTCTATTTTTGGGTTGTACCGTAAAACATATTTTGGCTTTTCATGAGTTTACTAAGTGTAATGGAAGCATGCCTCAATTTCAGGCACTTGAATCAGAAGAAGCCGTACTCCCCAAGTGATTCTCTGCAATAATAGGTAGTTCAATATGGCTTACCCTTGTTGAAGCGGGTAACTGTTAAGTTAGGTAATGTCATAACTTCGTGCTCATTTTCCATGGGCAGATGTTATAACATGTTTTCAATCAGATGTTACCATGATATACTCATTAGACAGATTCGTAAAGTACAGTTTCAGTCTGCCTTAGTGGATGAGACTTCTCAATTTTTGATTGGATTTGTAGCCTTTGGCGGTTAAATCTGTCAGGTGGAATTTTTTTAGGGAGTTAGATAGATTCCAGTAAAATTAATTCCCTAATTCTCTCAAACTGAAGCCGCCAACGTTTTAGAAACTTAAAATTCAATGGTTTATAGATTGGCTGTTTTGAGTTTCAATTATATTTCACCATTTAGTACATGAAAGACTCAGTTTGGATTCTTTCTTGAAATAGTTTTCTATCAACAGATATAATACTGAAACTACTGTTTATTACTAGGAGTAATAGAGATTTAAAACTGATTCTTTCATCTAGAGGCATATAGCAACCCCCAAATCTCTGTTCAGTTTGAATTTCCAATCTTTCTTTGAACAAGAAATAAGAGAAACGTGACTCTTGTTTATTCAGTAGACGATTTTGTTGTAAAATAACTGCTAGTCCTCATTACATATGAGTGTCGTACCATTTTTATGAAAGTTACTTATTTTACTCACCGTAAATATCTAATGTGCGGTAGGTGACTTGAAGTAACTGAGTTCTGTGACCGAAATTTAACTTACTGTCTCATTTTTAAGATTAAAAAGCGTTAACTTATGTGTTTAAATCTAGAAATTCCACAGCTTAAACTGTGGTACATGACATCCTAAAATGTATTATTTCAAAATTGAATGAAGAAATTACTGTAGAGTACACGTTGATATATTTGTTTGCTTGGAGAGAATTAGAATTGGAAGCACTAATGTACCCATCACTTTTACTACAGTGAGAGTAGAAAATATAAGGAACTATGGAAAAATATGGAGGACTTGGAAGGGACATGTTTATTATAACATTTTAACATCTGCAGAGAACAGAAGAAATGCGTTTATGGTTTCTAGCCACGTCAGATAAGCTTCTCAAAGACAATTTTCTAGTCGAAAATGTGAAGCCTGTTTCCTCATAGTTTTTAGGTTACAAAGGATTATTTCCAGTCCTGGTGCTTCTTCCACTTCAAACTCACTGCAGTTAAAATTAAGGACCGAGATAACTGATAAAGTGTGCAAAACATGTCTTAGATTCAAAGGTTGGTGGTAGTTTGCATTGTTATCAACTAATCTAACTTGCTTTATCAGAACATTACCCGTGACATTGATACTTTTTAGTGAATGCTCCCAACTCATATAAATTATTCTGGTAAGATATTGGTGGACGTAAACTTTTTTGTCCTCCTTTAACCATTGATCAGGAGTGGTTTAGTTCAAAGAGGTTCACTACTATATATTACTGGTCATCGGTAGGTAAAGGTATGAAGAATGACAACCTTGGGATAAGTCACTACGATTTTATAAGAGAGAAGATAAGCTAAAGGAAGTGTTAAAGAGATTTAAAAATCACGATACCATATTTTCAAAGCAAAATAGCATATATTAGTATCGAAGTTTCTCCGTGTTACCTGGTAACTTCGGAAAACAACCACTGCTTTCTCTGAAAGTTAGTTACCCCTGTTTTATATATGTTGCACAGAAACAACGCGTCACTTACTGGAGTTAGTGAGATATAATTTGGTAGTTTCGTATCAAACTTCACTCACTGTGAACATTGCAAGCTCCAAACTGTAACGTAGACAGGTGTTTCAGAGGATTCAACAAACTACTTTATGACTTGAAACTATGGGCACTAAATATGAAAGCTGAATGAGTAAATAGTGGTTATGCAGCTTCGACCTAATTTGTAAAGCAGCCTTATTCATTCTACGTAAACTGTCTATTTTTCCTTACTCATTATGCTTTCAGCAAGCATCAATCTCTACACTTATCACAGTTAACACTTGGAAAGCAGCAATACTACTCAATTGCATAAATTGCGTTCAAGAGAACACGTAGTGATTCACTTAGAGATTTTGAAGACTCAAGAACTCATCTTCCTGATAAATGAAGATTTCGTATGAATAATCAACTAAAATCCCGTGGTCTCTAACTCAGCACAGATATTTAGTGATTTCACAAGCGAATTCGTGTAAGTTTATGCTTACTGTAGAACTACAGTTCACTGCTTCTTGTGTAAAACCAGTGGGTCACATTCGAATTCTGGTTCATGCACTGGAGCCTAAATTGTTAGGTAGTCCCAATAATCATTACACAGTGGGTGTGACCCGCAGCTTTATTATGCTTTAGGGCATCAAAGTAAGCGCATGTTATATTCGTATGTGCCTACAAACCTATATGGGTATTCGATTTGCATCAGAGGTATTTGGATCTTGGTGAAATATATTTAGGTTCAAAAATGAACGTATTTGTCTCCAGCATTTGGAATTCATTGTTGTCAAATTAATTGATGAGTAAGTTTTTGAAAAACGTTGCACTTTGTTATTACTTATTTTTGAGTACAAGAAAGAATTTCAATAAAAGTCCATTGAATTTCTTGAAAATATCAAAATACCTGGGGTTTGTGGGTTGGTTTTAACTTTCGTGGTTCAGTGTCATACCTTTCTCAAATAGCCCGATAAGAAGAGAAGTAGGCGTAGGGTGCGTCATTCCGTGAAATGGCGTAGCAGAGAAACAGTTTTTTCATCAGCATAAGTCGTGATAACATCCGTGTTTATGTTACTAAATTTTACTACAGGTCATCTCTTTAGGTTCGGTGTTTGTTATTTCAATGGGTAGTTATGGATATTGCTAATGTATACGGGTGGTTGATTTTTGAAGTTCCCTGATTCTCTTCCGAATTTATCAGCTAGTACGTGTTTTGTGTTGTAATATTTAAAACTGGCAATCCTGTTTGTGATACACTATGCACGCAAAATGGGTAGTCTGCAAATATTTAGCATTGAAATCCATTCTATGAAATATTCAACTTGAAAAGGTTTTGGTAACTACATTTTATTATGCTCATCATATATCACGGGAAATTAATTTATGAGGATTGTTATGCAGTTATAATGTAGGTTTACTGCAACCATAGCCTTTAGAGACCTGTAAGGAGTCTTTAACATCTCATCCTAAAAGTGAGTGGTTTCTCTAGCCTGTTATACATTTTGAATAGTTTTTCATATCACTTAAAATTAATTGCATTTCATTTTAACTAGATTGTTTTTTTGACATTCTTTTTAAAATAACCGTTTTTCAAGATATCCTGAAGCGAAGTGCTTCGTATTGGTTAGAAATTCCTAACACTAGCCGGTTTGCACAATAGATTAACATGATTCGAAGTATTCTAATGTTATTTGATAAAACTTACCGTAAAAACTACAGAATATAAAAAGATCGAAAATAGATGTTTGGAGTGGAATGATGAAATACTGCTTGGTTTAGTTCATACTCTGTTGTGTATGTTTATCAAGCTGTTGTACTTGTTAGTGAGTTTTTTCTTGATACAGGTTTCCTACTTCAATCATGTGTGATGTAATGCCCACAATATCGGAGGATGGCAATTCGAGTCAGGGAGATCGAGACTCACAAGCAAGCGGAGAGGGTACAAATGTTGAAGACATGCTGTTAAGCATATTGGATGAACGTGACAGACTCATGGAAAGTTTGCATGATGCTCAAGATCAGTTGGTATTCACACAGAACCGACTTGCGGAAGCTGAGAGAGAAAGGGATGTACTCAACAGGCAGTTGTCTGAGAAGCTGCCTGAAGTAAGTAACGATTTTTTTTCTGTCTGATTGTATAAAGTAGTGTAAATGTTTACAGTTAGTGCCAAGCAGTTTCGATTTAGGTAAAATTGTTGAGAAGCAGTTCTACCGGATCTGTATTTTCAAACGTTTACTGAGGTGTGCTGTTTCACCGAAGCTTAGCAATCGACGTTTGTAATTGTTGTTGCTTTTTGTTAATCCTTTATCTTAAATAATCACTGAGAGAATTATTAAAGAAATTAGATTATACTTTTAAATTTGCATGTTACCTCCCATTGACTGGATTTCATCACAAGTGAACACCACACATTATATCACCTTTGTTTTTCTGTAAAGTGACATACAAGTGACAGCGTAACCGATAAGTAAGATGATCTGCGTATAGCAGAATTACTGGAAAGTCCATTATTTACATCGCTTAATAATTAAAAACTGGCAAATGTATGCTTAGTAAAAACATGATGGCAGTCTGATCCTTCTGACCTAGGTGGCGAAATCTACAAATCAGCTCCACTGGTTCCTAGCTCCTAAAGTTGTTCAGTAGTATATTTCCTTAGTTCATGACGCTTTTGTGTCAGAGATAATACCTTGTTGTCTTGACAGAAACCTTGTTGACATTATAGTTAGGCAGTTGGAAAATTACTCAGGCGTTAGAAATATCAACGTGGATCGTGCAATTCTCAAGTCATTTTCAAACTGGACGTTCTGTTTAAGACATACTGGTGCTTGAAAATCAGTTAGCCAGATTAAGGTGATCTGAACAATTCGGCTCTGTGAGCTGAATTTTTCCGGGTACACTGCTGATGAGCTCGACCCCAAACAAGCCAAGTGGCTTTCTGGTGTGTAGACTACTCTGGTCTGACTGGCGAAATTTACTGATAAGCGTAAAGGGTTCCCAACTACTGAAGTAGTTCAATAATATATTTCAAGTATGATATACATTTCGAATACACTGTCGTGATTTGCATAGAGTTTTGTATCTCACATATGTACAAGGTTCAGCGTGATCATCTTTTGTGAATCATTGTAAATCTGTTTATAGGGTTCGAAAAGTATCGACTTATTCCTGTGAAATAGTGAGCTGCACTCTTATTGTTCTTGTTGTAAGTTGATAGATAATAAAAGGTAGCTATCGGGTTTACATAAATCTAAGTTTCATACCAGTTGGCGTGCAACAGCAAGGACTTTACGAAACTCACGACGGTTCAAAGACTAAGATTCACTTTGTTCAACAATACTATCTGAAAGGTTTATTTGACCTGTGAACTATTGGGATACTTTCTGGTCGGGACCGATTAAAGCATTGTCAACACTGAAAATGTTATAGGATGGCTTGAAGTTTCAAACTTTTGCATTGTGTTTTTTAGTGAGTAGATTTAATCAGTCTCATACTGGTTGACAAATCTGTTGATCTATTCTTATAAAGTGGTCAGGAAGTGATTTATTTATCATATATTTGCATCGAAGGATTTGAACTACATTTAGTCTGATGAAACAAGGAGAAAATACTATTTGCACTAGATTCAATCTGTCAAGCTTTCACGATAACTAGTTTAGGGTGGGGAATAACTGAGTAAATATTCAACTTTATGAGCGATAATCTCGTATCTGAATAGCAGTAACGAAATTTGACATTTGTAAGTAATCATAGAGATGAACTTACTACATTTGGAGATTTTAGAAGGAAAATTGTGTGTGCATCCCTATTTAGTTCGAACTTACAAGAGATTTTGGAAATATGTGGCCTATTCCTTTTCTTTGCGTTCCATTTACAATCGAATTTCTGCTTAGTTACAGTACAGTGCACATTTTCATTTACTGAAACATGAAAATCTTTTTGTCTACCTATATTGTTCCAAATGGTTTGTTGATACTGAAATATATGTATTTATTTGCAACCAGTCAATGTACTGGTTTTGTGGCATACTGGATCATTCGGTTCATTAATTACTCTTCATCTCCGTGGGATCAGTGCAATTATTTTAAACGCAGTTAGTAATTAAACACTGAATTGCACTTTTTTAGTTTAATGTGTGAAGTCGACGCTGATATTCTAAGATGTAGTAGGAAAGTGTACTCTTGGTAAGTGTTGCATTTCATGACATAATGATTCTATTGTTGTTAAAACTCAAATAGAAACAGATATTACAGTTATCTGATATTTCGAACTTCAGGTGTTCACTCTTGGGTTGGATTCCAATCCCACTTAGATATTTTCACTAACCTTTATCTATTTATTCCCTCTCTTCTCATAGAATTCTAACTACTTTTCTATTATTCATTTTCAACTCATTTCTTCTTTACATACTGCTGTAAAGTGTGACAGCTCAAATTAGAGCACTTTTGTGACAGTTTCTAAGTTGATATTTTTGTCTACTTGTATGTCTGTCTTTGGTTGTTGTAGAGGAGAATTCCTAATTTTCAAACAGTATTGATCACCTTATTGATGAAGAGAAAATGGCCTAGTCACTGAGTTATTCATGTGCCTAATGGAAGTTCATCTTCTCTATATAGTTAATATTTAAGTCTATTTGATATGGGATCCATAATCATTTTGAATCAGTCGACTGCCAAGTGTCTGAATGCACTTGCTTAGTTGTAGTACAATCCACTCGATCAATAAACTCACAAAAGTGTCAGTTTCACAAGTTATAATGGATTGTGTTGTTCATGGTTTAATTAAACTGTCATACACTGCTAATTCGTGGCAGCAATTCAGTCTGCGTAAAGCGACCTGTTTATTTGCTTCAAGCCAAGTTATCTACTAGCGTTAGTGACATACGCATATTCTAATGAATGACTGACTGTCTGACAAAATCAACGTAGAACACTGCACAGGAGTGCATCAGTTCAAGTTGCCACCCTTCACAGAAGTACACAAAGAATCACTCATTACAATTCTTCTTTCCTTTCAGGTATACACATATTTAGGTTTATACTCTAATCTTTGTATTTATGCCGGTACATTCTTTAGGTAAATGATTGTGGATTTGTTAAAAAGTAGTGTTAGCTTGTTTCACATATTTTTAGTGTATGAAAGCTATTGATCTGTGAATGATACATTTCTCTAACTCTTATTTGGTTTGTGCTTCTATACTTTAGTTCATCTAGTTTTGTGTATAATTGTGCACACGTGTCTGTCAGTAAGATGTGTTCTTTCTCATCTTTTCTATTGTGTGTGCAAGGTCACTTGTCCTCATACTTTCAATAGTTGAACTTTCATAAATTCAAAAATATTATATCTATACCATCTCGCAGGACACTATGTTCGATGCCTGTTTGTCTATTTTGTCCTTAATAACCAGGGTCTGGGGAGTATTTAATAGCACTGAAATAAGTGATATACAAGGAAAGATCCTGAAAGTGGTTTTGGTACTAGACCATTGACTTGACTCCTATTAAAACTCGGATTTTCTTCCACCAATGATATTTATTGCCTCAAATTATTGGATAGATAGAAGTAATTTTTAGGTCGATTTATTCAATCTGATGGGTTGAAATGAGCTTGTAGAAGCCACTGGAAACTAAAAAGTATTGCACGTGTGGTTCATAATTATTTGGAATGTGTAAACACTGTGCACAGTTGATCACATTCAGAGCTTTACGCAGTCTGTTAGGTTCTTATGGTAAAGAACAAGTGTGTCAGAACTCAGTGACCAACATTTTGTCACGTAGAAACTGCTTATTTAGGGTACAGTTAATGTACAATAAACCATTTACTCAGTTGACCTCTCTGTTAGCATATCTTGTTCATATCGTAGCGTATAACATAGTTTATCATTTATGTGCCGTTATTACAAAACGTATTTACTTTGGATAAACTAATTTCACTGTGCATTTTATGTTGTTACTTTTCGAAATCATAATAACAATATGTGTAGTATATTGTCTTTTACCAGTAGTGAAGTGTTTAATTTTGTTGTACGAAATAAAATCTAATTAAGAAACATCGTGTACAATCGTTGTTGCATCGGAAAAAGTAGCTGTGCATTTACGTGAAATCCACTTCGTAGGATGCTCCTTTTCTGTTGTGGTGATTGATAATGACATTCATTCAGAAATTTTACTTTGAAAAAACATAAGTTTTCTAAACAGAATTGAAAACACATCTTTCTTTTGCTTTAGCGTTATCTAGTGTTGCATTTTCTTAGTCATAATTTGCCATGTCTGTTAAGGTGTCGGAGCATCCCCAACTCATGCTGCAAATATTTACTGTTAGAAAAGCATGCTTTTACCTCTTGTTTCATATAAAATAGTTTAAGGGATTGCATGTGAACCTCTGAACCTTGGTTTCATCCTATTGGTACTCGTGAATAAGCTGTAACTGAAAAATGCATGGGCTGATGCCAAGTCAGAAATCCAAAATTGTCACTCTGTGCTACTGTCGCAGACACTAAGACTTAGTTATTTGGGTAACACTTCACTTCTCTAGGACTAGATTAGATCAATGAATGGTCACTGAAAGCTTATCGATGTCGTTTTGTGTGGTTCTAGGCGCTGGCTGGGTTGTATCTACCAGGTTTCCAATATTGTTATCGAATTATATAGTTCAGTATAACGGTTCACTTTGATTTGTATAAGTTAGTCATCAATTAACTGTTGATAAACATCAGTAAGGTTTGATTTAGAGTAACGTAAAATTTTACGTGGTGGTTAGCAGCTCCGAAACTTGACAAACATTTTCAGGTGTATTTGTTGATGTTTTAACACATTTTATTGCATGAGGGCTAGAACTACTTTAAGTTTGCTTTACCTAAGGTAGGAAGAAGAAGATTTGAACCTAAAATACATAGGTAGGAAACCATATATATTGAGCAGTGAATGAATGTCAAGGATGAGATGACTAATGATACTGAACAGCATTCCACGACCATCAGGCCTTGCCCCACCGGTCACGACTTCTCATTGGAACTTCGGGAATACCTCTCGAAGCTAGTCACTAATGAGCACCAGTCAAACAGAAAAGATGTGAAAGGGAGGAATAGAGTAAGTAAAGATGGATT